GAGAGAGAGAGAGAGAGAGAGAGAGAGAGAGAGAGAGAGAGAGAGAGAGAGAGAGAGAGAGAGAGAGACGGACAGACAGACAGACAGACAGAGGCAGAGACAGAGGCAGAGGCAGAGATTCTGTCTGACAATGGGTGTGTTTGTGGTGGGTGTCTTCTGTGTCCAGATTGTAGGTGCTATATGGTACATGCTTTCAATAGAGCGCCTAGACGGTTGCATGGAGCACTCGTGTGCCCATGAGGTCAATTGTGTGAATATGTATCTAGATTGCCCAGATGTTGGCAACCTGGATGCCAGTATCAAAGAGTACACCCCCAAGAAGCTGGCTGATCGTGCAAGGTGGTTGAACTCCTCTGTCATAATGCACCAGTGCTTTCATCATCATGGTGGTGAATATAACTTTGCTGAAGACGATTGGCAGTATGGAATATATGAGGAGGCCCTTCCAATCATTCTAGGCCATACAAAACCCCTTCAACTTTACTTGCGATGCTTCTTCTGGGGTCTGCAGAATCTGAGGTAAGCAAGTGATTACAAAAGAAAAAGTGTGGGATCACAGGTGCGCATCTACCAAGAAAGTACAGGACGAAGAAAAAATATCATGTGAATCATAGTAAATGGCCATGCATCACGGCTGGAGTGGGTTGAAGAAAAGAAAAAGGGCGTGCATCTGCCCAGAACCAAGGGGAAATGAAACCTAAAATTGGAAGGGAGATCGTACTAGCCTCAACGTCGCTGTACGGGGTAAGAAAAGTACGGTCGCTAATGCGCCCTAATGGAGCGGCAAGAACCAGGATTCAAATATCTGAATTTATACTGTATGTGTATTTGTAGAATATACAGTCATAGAAAACTGTCCAGTGAACCATAGACAGAGAGGGAGAAAAGCACATCAAACTAGGGCCTGTGACAGATTGTTTCGTCGACTCATCGGGAGGTTGAACCCTCTAAAGTCTGCATTCCCCTAGCCAATGATACTGTAAGGAATAATCCACATTAACCCTGGCTTAAGTGATAATCCACATTAAACCCAGTTGTGGTTAAGCATGGACTGCAGGACAACTGATACCCTGAGGTGGGCAACAGCCATTGCCCTCAAGTGTACCTGTGACAAAAATCAAAGCAGACTACCACTCACCCACATCAGACGGAAGCTGCTACACACTGCAGGTTCACCACCATAAAACAAAGAAAGGTTCTGCAGATGTAGTCTACAAATATGTCTACATAATGCACACGTTCAACCTCAGTTGCCTGCCCAGCACTGGTAGATTCAATGCTCACAGCATGATTGCTTCATCATAATAACCTCCCATCGTCCCCTCGCTCTGGTCATTCCAAGTTTAGCTCCTCTCTTCCGCCTTCTTGGCTTCTTCAGTGCCTATTTGGTCCTTCCGTGTCTGTGTTATGTGCCTGATTGAGAACGAATCCAGCATGACATTCACACATTCCCAGACACTTGCCCCATGACAAGTAGACTTGGAGCAAGAGCAATCCACCAAACCGGAAGATGGGAATACACAGCGGAAGCACATAGATACCAAAACTAGAATTGAAACGAAAATCAATTCTAATTACCGTCTCACCCCAGTTCAATCAACAGCACGAATTCCGAGAATCCCAACCACGTTAACAACATCTACGAACATATTATTTACAGAGTTTCATCGAGGGAGACTTCTTCTTCCTCCCACACCTTCGAGCTCACATCTATGGCGCAGGCCTGTGCCCAACATATCAAGCCCACCAATCGCCACCACCCATGAAACCCCAAAACAGTCACCCAGCAGTCCAATCGCAACGCCCTCTGCAGATGACGTGTCGGACCAACGAGGGAGGGTGGCTCCCTGGACGACGAAGAAAAACACCAGCTCGATGAAGATGATGACCTGCCACTTCAAAATCAGCATCAGAGAGAGCTGCTTCGATGGCAGATGCCTTAACCCCAACAGAAAAGTGATGGAGGAGCGCCCCACAGAACTGGGCTCGATGCCCGGGCCAGACCTGCATAAGTCCAGTAACCCCAGCTATGGTCGCCCACTTCCCGTGAGGAAGGTGTTACATGCTGCTCCTGCAACAGGCTGCACGGGCCATTTCCAGGCCCGTGACGTTTCAGGCCAAAAGCCTGAAAACAAGGGCCTACAGGCCCTGTATCCTTTCAGCCTGAAAGCCTGAAAACAAGGGCCTACAGGCCCTGTGCCGTTTCAGGCTAAATCAGGGCCTTTCCGGCCCTGAGTGTTTTCAGCCTGAAACTGAGGGCCATTTCCAGGCCCTCATGAGTTCGGCCTGCCCTGAAACTCAGGCACCAAACCAGGGTTTTAGCTCAGGCCATTTTTGGCCTATTTTCAAGACAACCTTCGTTTGAGCTTTAACCCCAGGGTCTGGCACGTCTTGGCATTGGCAAGAGCAGCCTCCTGGACGGGCCAGCACTATAAAGGACTGGCCCGCCCTGCAGGCTGCAGGTAGTTCCTAGGTACTTCCCAGGCACTTCACGTGCAGTTCAGGAGGCAGGAGGTAGTCTTCAGGATTCGGCAGCAGCACTCTGGAGGAGCGCTGCAGGAGTAGTAGTAGCGTTAGCAGTAGTCTTCAGCGCTGGGCACTAGTAGCGTTAGCTGTAGTCTTCAGCGCTGGGCGCCATAGCTAGAGTAGTACTATAGGGAGAGAGATTGGGCGGAGGCCAGAGGGACTTACGTGCAGCGCCATCGCTCCAGCTTCGTCTTCAAGGTACCTGCAGCACAGCGCCACATTCACAGGTTAGTACCTGGCATATGAGAGAGAGAGAGTTCTTCTTCTTCCTCTTCTCAGCCCACCATCTCCCTCTCATCCTCTCGATATCTGACTTCACTGCATCAGCAGACTATGAGAGAGAGAGAGAGAGCTTGGTGACATTTGGATCCAGACTCGACATTGGACTTCAGACATTTTGACGAGGGATTATTTGGGACTTGTAACGAGACTTGGTGTTGACGACTTTCCCATCTCTCCCCTCCTCTTCGTCTGATCCCCTCCTCTTCGTCTGTGCATGGCTGGACCTGGCGCCTCTTCCTGTGTATAGCGCCAGGCCCCTTCACACCTTGTGGTGAAAATGATGTATGTTTAGTCTGCATTGCGACATTGATTGGGCTCATCATTTGTATTCTAGCCTTCTGCTTCGCTATCTTGTACTACGTGAAAGAGGTCAGTCCCGGTCAGGTCAGGACTTGTATCTAAGTCTTCCACTGCGCTGTAAAGCACCATTTTGTATGTATCAGAGTGTACACTGCTCGTTGAGATTTCACTTGCACTGCATTGTCCATTCAGTCCTTCTTATCACATTGTGGATCCTTGGTTATTATGTACATCGCCCAACTGGGCATGTAACAAAGGAGAAGACCGAGCGCTAAAATTAGTGCAGCTTCCAGCGCCGACCTCCAGCAGCACTTCGTGGAAAAAAATGTCGAAAACAGAACCGAGATTCCTCGGTCCCTGCCTACTTCTACCCGACTCCCCTAGGCCTACCACCCAGCAGCTACCTACAGACCTATCTGACCGTCCGACCAGCAAACATCTACGGACTACTAGTCAAGATCTGCCTAACTGCATCCAGATGGAAACGTGAGCTAAGGGACCCAAGGCTAAGTGTTACATGCTGCGCCTGCACACGAGGGCCATTTTCCAGGCCCTGCGTCCCTCAGGCTGAAAGCCGTAAAACCAGGGCCTACAGGCCCCGTGTCTGTTCAGCTCGAAAGCCTGAAAAACAGGGGCCTACAGACCCTGTGTCGTTTCAGACTAAAAATGGCAGTAGCCTTTTTAGCCTGAAACGAAGGGCCATTTTCGGTCTTTCATCAGACCGGCCTGCCCTGAAACTCAGGCACCAGACCAGGGTTTTAGGAACAGGCTATTTTTGGCCTGTTCCCACGACAGCTGCAGCACCAGGCAAGAGCAGCCTCCTGGACTGCCCGCCCTGCAACTGCAGGCAGTCGGAGGCAGTCAGGAGGCAGGCCGAGGTAGTACATAGGGACTTCCCATGCACTTCACAGGCAGGCAGGAGGCAGTCAGTAGTCTTCAGGATTCGGCAGCAGCACTCTGGAGGAGCGCTGCAGGAGTAGTTGTAGCGTTAGCAGTAGTCTTCAGCGCTGGGCGCTAGTAGCGTTCGTTGTAGCCTTCAGCGCCGGGCGCCATAGCTAGAGTAGTACTAGAGAGAGAGAGATTGGGCGGAGGCCAGGGATACTTACCTGCAGCGCCGTTGCTCCAGCTTCGTCTTCGAGGTACCTGCAGCACAGCGCCATCTTCACAGGTTAGTACCTGACACATGAGAGAGAGAGTTCTTCTTCTTCCTCTTCTCAGTCCACCATCTCCTTCTCACCCTCTCGCGATCTGACTTCACTGCATCAGCAGACTACGAGAGAGAGAGAGAGAGAGAGAGAGAGAGAGAGAGAGAGAGAGAGAGAGAGAGAGAGAGAGAGAGCTTGGTGACATTTGGATCCAGACTCGACATTGGACTTCAGACATATTGAAGAGGGATTATTTGGGACTCGTAACGAGACTTGGTGTTGACGACTTTCCCATCTCCCCCTTCCTCTTCTTCGTCTGATCCACTCCTCTTCGTCTGTGTATGTCTGGACCTGGCGCTTCTTTCCTGTGTATAGCGCCAGGCCCCTTCACACCTTGTGATGCGCATGATGTATGTTTGGTCTGCGTTGAAACATTGATTGGGCTAGTCATTAGTATTCTAGCATTCTGCTTCGCTATCTTGTACTACGTGAAAGGGGCCAGTCCCGGTCAGGTCAGGACTTGTATCTAAAGTCTTCCCTGCGCTATAAAGCACCATTTTGTATGTATCGGAATGCACATTGCTTGTTGAGATTCCACTTGCACTGCATTGTCCATTCAGTCCTTTTTATCACATTGCGGATCCTCGGTTTGTATGTGAATTGCCCAACTGGGCATGTAACAGTTGGTATCGGACCACCACACGTGAATCAGGACAACCTGATCTGACACGTGTGCGGGGACTAGGTAGCTGATTAGTCTTGATTGATTGATTAGAGCACACTAGTTAGCCCCCAATCACAATTTTGACCTCACTGCCGAAAATCGATTTTTTTTTTCCTTTTCTTGGATTTCGTTTTCTCGCTATCTGTGTTGTGGAAAATCGCAATAGCGCAACATCTGAAATTTCCGTTTTCGTCTTTCTTCTGAAAATCCGAAATTTCGTTGTTGGAAATCCGGAATATCTTTTTCTCAAAAATTTCGGTCTCCTTTTGCAATTTCCCGTTATTTGGAAATTCTTCGTGGTTATTGTGCGTTCATCATTTTGCACGTTGTTCATGACTTGAATGGTGTTCTTCTTTCTTTGTTCTTCGCATTCTTCTTTTCTT